CTGGGGATAGAAGCTAAGAAAAACGTCTTGTGTATAATGAGGACTGTGCACCTCCCCAAGCTTCTTTATCTCTGGAGGTTGTTGAATATTCTAGAGGCTTTTAATAATAGGATTGTCTGGCTGGTTTGTCTGGCTAGTCTGTCTGGACTGCTTAGATACAACCCTACTTAAATGACCCAATCTTGTTACATGGCAGAAGATTTCCATTTTTTTCATTAAATAAGAACAGACATAAAAATCTGTATTTAAGACTCAGAAATTACTTTGTGGCTTCAAATGAAGCTCTAACATTTGTATTCAAAATTGACCTTTAGTAAGAGCAGGAATGACCATAATCAAAGGGGTCACCTCTTAAATCTCACCCACCCTGTCACCTCTGTCTGAGTGCATTGATGTCCTATAACTCATTTCCTGTCTTTTGTGGCCCTAGTGCTACTTATCAAAATTGTGTGCAAATTCCCTTGGCTAACAGGAATGTTTTTTTGTTGGGGCCTGTCCAGTAACAGATTTGCAAGAGAGTTCATCATTTTTGTGATTAGTGTTTGGAATGTGTCAGATAATTCAGTTCATGATAAAAGGAAAGAACTCTTTTGGGGTGGCGAAATGAACATTCAGGAAAAGGGTGCGTGCTAACCAGGATGGCAGCCTGCGCCGGCTGAAGCCCACAAAGCCAACAGAGCTGCAGGTGTGCTTTTCTTAGTCTTTGGCCTCCACAAACACTGGCCGTGTGTTTCCCTGTGCCCTTCAAAGACATCAGAGTAGCAAGTCCTAGAAGTTTCTTTCTTTTGGAAGGTTGGGAAGAGCTCCCTTGTCATGGCTTTGACTCCTAGTAGTGTGTTGAGTGACCCAGAGGGCCACTGGGAAAGCTTTCCGACAACTCTCCGCTGTCATCAGATTGATCTGCCCAGATGACATCAATCGGAAATTCGAAGCCTGACCTATAAAGGTCAGTTAAAGAGTCCCAGGAAAATAATCATGAAATTTGAAAGCTTGAAGCATTTTTGAAAAATCATCTAACTAGACCGCCTCATTTGGAAGATTTTTTAAAAACTAAAAAACAAACAAACAAAAATTCGAAAAGGATGGGTAGCTTGTCTGATGTCCTCAGCGAGAGCAGAAACTGGAACTCTGGTCTCTTTGTCTCAGGCCCCAGGGTCTTTCTCCGAGCCCTGCTGAGGAAGTTGAGGTGAGGGAAGGATCGGGAACAGCTCAGCAGCTCTCTGCCCTTCTTGGCTCAAAGTGAGGAGACATTTTCTGACCTCCTTGGCTTTATATCACTTGTCCTCTGCCACACACAATCCAGCAATGTCTACTTTTTTTCCCATTGCTTTTTTTTTTAACTGAAATACAGTCAGTTATAATGTGTCAATTTCTGGTAAACAGAATAACGTCCCAGTCATGCATATACACACATACATACATATATTTATTTTCATATTCTTTTTCATTATAGGTTATTACAAGATATTGAATATAATTCCCTGTGCCAGACAGAAGAAATTCGTTTTTTATCTATTTTTATATATTGCCTTTTCTGATTGTGACTGTTAAAAAAATGATATTCTTTTAAACGACACAAAGATTTCAGAAAAGCATATAGAAAAAAGTCAACCCCTACCCTTCCCAGCCCCCACTTCCCCTCACCTCCGCCAGTGATTGAAACCAGTTTCTTCTGTGTCCTTCCAGAGGATACAACCACTGTGCAGAGACAACCACTGATGTGCCCTTTAATATAGTATTATTACTTTACAAATGTAATGAAATGAAGTAAGTAGAAATACAAATGGAAGTATACCATTTGGCGGGGAGGGTATAGCTCAGTGGTAGAGTGTATTTAGCATTCACGATGTCCTAGGTTCAATCCCAGTACCTCCATTCTAAACAAACAAACTTAATTACCACCCCCACCAAAAAAAAACCCAAATTTAAAATTTATTTAAAAAAAAAAGTATGCCATTCACACTGCTCTTCACTTTG